ACGTCAGCTCAAGCTTTGACTTTCAGGGGATAGCTTCAACTACGGCCTTTCCATTTTTTTTCTGGGTCAGCACATCAGGATTGGCGTCCCTCACGCATTGATCTCTCTTCCTCCAGCGCTCCATCTCCATCTCCAGTGGTGGTTGGATGGGTTGAATATTTACAGTGGAGTCTCTTTAAGACCGTTTGCTCCAGTACATCGCCTGTACGTAGTCACTTTTCTACACGGGTGGGGAGCTCACTTTCTCGATCAGCAAGTGGCAGGGTTGTGGTCTCCCGCAGACTGCCCATGCCACATCAACGTTTGGAGCTCAGGGCAGTGATTCTCTGGGATCACTCATTGGCATCACCTGTTACAATCAACCAAGCTTTTGTTTCCATCGGACTATGCTGCAATCGTATGGCACATCAATCGAATGGGATCAACGGGGGTCTCCTCAGCTTCTTTAGTCGACACAACAGTATTTTCCACTTAGTGGACTCTTTCAACATCACGGTCCAGGCCAATCACATCCCAGGGTTGAAGTACGTCATTGCAGATTCTTTGTCCCGTCCGGTTAGACCATACCCGATGAGGTGGAAACTGCATCCACAGGTGTTCCAGACTTTGTGCCTTCCAATGTCTAACCTGACAGTGGATCTGATTGCTACCCGCTTCCACCACCTGCTTCCGTGTCCCTGATCCTGGATCCTTTGGCCTGGGAACACGATGTTCTAGCCATTCCCTGGGATGACTTGAACCCATATGCGTTTCCACCAGTGGCGCTACTTCCACGCATACTGCTCAAGTTACGCACGACGCAGCGGTTGACACTGATTTTGGGTCGCACCGTTTTGGCTAGTTAGTTTGTTCCTAACCTGCAAGACTTGACCGACCCCTTCCAGTACCACTTCCCGTCACGCCGATCTTATGGTTCATCTTCACTCCGATCAGCTGCATGGTCTCCACTCACACTTAATTTTCACGCCTGGTGCCTTTACTTGAATTGCTAACTGCAAAGGGATATTCAAAGCGAGTGGCTGCGGCGATTACCACGGGCGCATTGAACTTCTACCAGGCCACTCTGTGATGACTATGGAAGTATTTTTAAATGTACTGCTAGACGATGGGTATTATATGTCCCACTACAGCATCGCCGCAGATGGTCGCGGAGTACCTCCAGCATCCTTGAACTTTCAAGGAATTGACGGGTTCCACCTTGTCTACATACCTGGCCATGCATAACACAGTTATTGCGCCGGTTACGGGTGCGAAGGTTTCAACTGTCCCTGAGCTCCAGTCTCTCCTTAGATCTTACAAATTGCTGATCAATCCCGGAAGTTCTGGCCACCAGCCTTGGACCTCATCATCTCATGTCAGAGGAGTATGAACCTCTGGCAGAGAAGGCTTTCAAGCATGTCACGTTTAAGTCTTTCTTCCTCCTGGCTCTTGCGACTGCTGCCTGCATCTCCGAGCTTCACGCACTGGATGTCTCCCGGTTGCGTTTCGAGAGGACCAGACATGTCAAAGCCCTCCCTGGTTGAAGTGGGATCTCTTCGCTGAAACCAGTTGCCTGGACAACCGGACAGACTATTCGCCTTCCTGCCGCTGTCTTCTGTTTTGGGCCCTGACGTCATCGAGAATCTTTCCCTATGTCCTGTCCGGAATTTACGGGTCCTTTAACTTCCTCCATGGACCGTCGTAGGTTACGCAAGAGACTGTTTATTTCTCTGTCATCTGCCTCATCTACAGAAGTCTCTTGTACCACACTGACCTTTGGGATGCGATCTACCATCCTTCATGCCTACGTCTGTGTTGACCTTCCTCTTCCTACTACGGCCAACCCTCATGAGACAAGAGCCTTGACCTCGAGTTGGACTCGGTCTTTGTCTCACCCTACCTCAGGGGACTGTCTGTCACTGACATGGAAGGTCTTCACCATCTGGGTCCATTGGTTCTGGCGTAGCAGTTGTCGTTGGCTCTCAAACCCAGATAAGATTAGTTCCTACCTTCGTGTAGGTTTTGCATTCTCTATATCATGAAAGATATCGGTCCTATCTTTCTTATTGGTATGGATTATATTGGGCATAGACCACCTCACTTAGGGTACTAGGGCGTGTCTGCACTGTCATAGTTATGACTCTATAGACTGAGAGGCCAGTCTTGTGCTACATGCAGAGGTGGTCGACACTCCTCTTACTGACCTCTACTCTGTGAGCAATTACGGCAGTAGACTAACAACTAGTCTCTGAAATGAACATATTTTACTGAAAAAAGTTCATAGTAAAAAAAAAAATATATATAATGAAAAGGAGCCCGAGACTTTCTTCATTTTCTGAGCTGAGGAAATCTAGACGCCACATTTTCAGTGAAGTGTTGAGGGTCTTACGAGACTACTATTACGGGCCAGTGAAGTGTTGATTTCCGATCACCTGCGTGGTTTTTGAAGCGTTCCGCTCCTAAGTCCTTTCTCACCTTTGGTAAGTTAGGGGTATTGGTACTGAACGTTAAACTAGTTGAGCAACCGGGCTATTCCCTCTTTCACCGCCTTCCAGCGTGTCTTTGGGGGGTAGTTTCGAAGCAGGGACTGGCCAGCTTAAGGTCCTCAACTTTAATTCACTGGGGTCACCTGATAAATCGCGGGGCTGCGGGGCTTACTTGCCAAACTGCGTCCTTTTGCTTGTCAAAAGTTGCGGCTGAAAACCACATTAATTCGGGATCGCCCACTCCCTAGAGTTTTTGTGCTGTGTAAGCCAAGAGGTTATCTGAAGCAACCCATCACAAGTTTGGAGTTTGCATATCAGTAGTTGGTGCTTTCTCCTGGCCTCCTTGGGTCTTGCGTCTTCACAGTTGTGAGTATTGACGGTAATCTGCGGCCCTCCTGCCAAACGTGGGATTATGCATACCGTGAGATAGGATGAATTTAAAAATTTAAAAATGTTACTATAAATTGTATATTTATATACTTATCTTATCTCACACGATGGATACCCACCCTACCTGCCCCACATCACAGATTACTGGAAGCTCCAAGACGAGAATGACAGGCACAGACAGTCACTTGATCATCTGAGCGATCTGCACACTTATTGAGATGATTGACAGGTACTGCTATCGGAGTGGGGGCAGAGGTCGGGGAGTCAGAGGCTAGGTAACTTTTGATTCAAGTTGAAGGGCTTCTGGCAGATTCCACTCACAGACCATGCAAAGAAGATATCGGCATTCGCTACACCAGATGGACTGTATCAATATAAAGTGATGCCGTTTGGTCTGATGGACGCACCAGCGACGTTCCAGAGACTTGTCAACAATGTCACTTCTGGTCTTGATAGTGTGGAGGCTTACATGGATGATATCATCAATTATGACATGGAGTTGGAAGACCATCTGAAAAGAACTCGTGCTTTCTTCGAAAAGCAAAATTGAATGTGAATATTGCAAAGTGTGAATTTGGGAAGGCACAAGTTGAATTTTTAGGGCACGGCCAGGTACAGCCAGTTCATGCTAAGGTTGAAGCCATTGTACATTTTCCAGTACCTCAGTCTAAGAGAGAACTCATGAGATTCTTGGGTATGTCATTTTGTCAAAATTTCTCAGATGTTGTATCACCACTTACCAACCCTTTGGGGAAAAAGGTAAAATTCCAGTGGGAAAGCAGTTGTCAGACTGCATTTGAAAAAGTCAAAGCCATACTCATGCATTCACCAGTATTGCAGGCACCAAATTGATGCAATTGATGTAGGTGCAGGTGCTGTCCTGATTCAAGAGGATGATTCAGGAATTGAACATCCAGTTTGTTATTTTTCCAAGAAGTTTGATAAGCATCAAAGAAATTATTCTACCATTGAGAAAGAGACATTAGGTCTTTTGCTAGCTTTGCAGCATTTTGAAGTGTACCTAGGTACCACTACTTTGCCAATTGAAGTGTTTACTGATCATAATCCCTTGACTTTTCTTCATAAAATGAAGAACAAGAATCAAAGACTTATGAGGTGGAGTTTGACCTTGCAAGGGTTCAATCTTCTGATTAGACACATTAAAGGCAAAGACAATGTTTGTGCTGATGCACTTTCCAGGCTGTAAATGTGTAATGACTTGATGATGCTGTATGTTTGAATCTGCATTATATCATAGTAATGCTGCAAGATGTTTCTCATGTTATTCATATTATTACATGTCATCTTATTATGTTAGTATTTTGCTATGATTGTAACAGAAAGTTTCTGTGATACTTTCTTTCCTTAAGGGGGAGAGTGTTACGAGTGTGTGTTTTTTGTAAGTTGTAATAACATTGGTTAGGTGATAGTTATTATGAGTCACAATGTTTAAAGTTTTGAGTGTGGGTTGTGGGTCACATTTTGCGTCATATATGTTCAATGGCAATAGTATTTTAGCGGCACGCCTTTTGGGATAGTGCTCCAGAATTACCTCCCTTGACTGGTTGTTTATGTGTTGACTTTGTCATGTCGTGGAGTTTTCCACAGATTTCGGAAAAGTTCTGAGAGAAAAATGATACAGCCACGTTTTGCTCGAATGTTCAAGAATCTGTGCCAGTATATATAAAGGCTGGTTGTTGTGTTGTGCAACACAGAATCACACATGGACTGACACACGGAATTACACAGGACTTTTCATGTCACTGGAGTTGCCTACCATCGTTGTTTGCCTTCGTCAACATAGTCTGACCCAGACACTTCATGTCTGACTGCTCTCATTTGTAAACAAGCTTCATTTAGAATATCTGATCTCACTGTAATTACCAAGGCTCATGGCGAGTTGATATTTTATATTTGTGACTCAAAACTTTAGATTTGGGACTCAATTGCATTGTACTAGAAATCTGTATTGTGATTCATTGTATCTTGCTCATTGTTTGCTCAATATATTATTAAATTATTATTATTAGACTTGTCTGTGTTATATTTTGCTGGTTCAAAGGGGCTTCTTAAACCTTTTGTCACGGCAATTTATTAACCGTAACACATATCAAAGATAAGATGTTCTGATTTTTTTTATGCTAGGTACTGAATATCAAATTCAAGCTGATGATGTCTGGTGGTTGGGGAAAACGTGCAGCAAGTCGTATTGATCGAAAACAGTTTGAACAGGATGATCTGCTTAAATCCCTTGGGAGCCAGTTCAATGTTGACTTCTCTGGATATGACCAGTGGCAAAGACGATCTAAGGTGGTGCAACCAGTTCAAAGGCCACCAGCAACTAAAGGTACAGTAAGTCCAAAAGAACTTTTTTAAATAAAAGTACTTAAAAAACAAAACAATTTTTTTTCACTATTTCATAAAATGAGTGAGGTGAGTGCTTCAAGTTGGTGTTGTTGACAAAGAGCGATGAGTTACATGTGTACAGGATGTTAGTTGCTGAAAGCTTTTGTATCCCGCTAATCAACATATATCAATATATCTCTGTTTTTATTGCAAGAAGAATTCAGTGGAATAACTGTGTGTGACATGAAATGTGATAATGTCCCACTCCTGAACATTTGAGAAAAAAGGTAAGTTTCTGTGCAAAAAAGAGTTACTGGCCTTAAAAGTACATGTGGACAGGTTTTCATAAAACAGGGAGAAAACATTGATGCAATAACTGGAGAACAGTTTGTGCTGCTTTTTTGGAAAATGTTTTTTGCAGCTGATTTCTATTTCAGGAGTATTTTGTAAGATAATTACAAATGGTAATGGAAATCTCTTCATACTCAAGAATGCCTATCATTATGGGAAATACCACTAAAATTGTAAATCATGGTGATGCTTTCTTGTAAATTTCACATTGACCAAGTTTGTTTTAAAATGATACAATGTAGGTTTTTCTTGCACACAACACACACCATTGCAAGTTTCTTTTGAAACTTGTACTCAAGCAGGCTTTCTGCACTAAAAGTAGTAAATCCCAAGGTACTGCGGGATTAGTTTCTTTTTGACTTAAATACCATGTTAAAACGACTGACTAAACTTTTCCAAAATCAATTTAATTACTTTTACAAAATTTGCTTGTTGGAAATACATCAAATTTGAATGTATGCATGGAAGCAGAAGCAGCCAGGGTTATATCAATTTCACTACGAGAGATGTCAACAATTTCATGTGCATATTCTGCTGTGACAGCAGGGTGTCAATACTGCGGTTGTGTTATGGCGCTTAGTTTCAAACATAGTTGGAATACTCTTTGCACCTTGCTAATACTGCAATTAGTTACACATTTGGGGCGTTATTATCATCATGGCATTTCCATTTTGAAAGAAAACAAATGTTGCAATTATGGATAATATTTTTAGGTTGTTTGCATTTCTATAATGTAACAAAATACAGCATTTTAGAAGAAAACAAGAAAACAGTGGATATCTGACATGACCTCAATATTGATACAAGGAAATATACCTGGTAGAAAAGAATCCTAGACAGCAAGCCAGACTTGATTTTTTTTTAATCTCTCAAGATATTTCTAATGTAACTGTAGATTCTGCAATCATAACAGGATAGAAATCAGATCATTCAGCTATTACTTTAGCTGTATCTTTAGACTGCAAATCTAGAGGAAAGGGCTACTGGAAGTTTAACACATCGCTCTTGAGAGACAAGGAATATGTTAAATTAGTTAAAAATTAAATCGAGGCAACTAAAAGACACTATGTAATGAACTCTCAAACTAATGATATGAACGAGGTTGATAATAATGATTTGAAACTAATCATAGATGATTGTCTATTCCTGGAAACTTTGCTGATGAACATCAGAGGAAAATCCATCTCATATAGCTCCTTCTTAAAAAAAGAAAGGAATGAAAAACCTTTGAAACTAGAATCTAAAATTAAAGACTTGGAGGATACAATACGTAGTAATCTTCAAAACATTGATGAAACCCTTCTCTCTGATCTAGCCAAACACAAGATGGAGTTCAAAAAGTTAAAGAGCAGGAAATTAAAGGAATACAGATCAGAAACTGAATTCAGTGGTATGAAGAGGGAGAAAAGCCATCAAAATATTTTTGCAATCTTGAAAACAGATACTATGTTAGTAAGTCCATCACTAGTCTTATGTCTGACACAGGTGAAATTATTACTGATGGTAAATATATATTAGACAAACAAAATGCTTTTTATCAAAACCTGTATTCGGACCCAGAGCAGGACCCTATTGAAGACCAAAAACTATTCGGTCTCTTTTAGAACTAAATACTCCAACCCTTCCAAAATCTTTAAAAAAAATGAATTAGAAATCCCAATCGACAAGAGCGAAATTCTTAGAACACTCAAATCAATGACTGACTGACTGACTGAGTTTGGTTTTACGCCGCTTTTAGCAATATTCCAGCAACATCACGGCAGGGGACACCAGAAATGGGCTTCACACATTGTGCCCATGTGGGGATTCGAACCTGGGTCTTCGGCGTGACGAGCCAACACTTTAACCACTAGGCTACCCCACCGCCCATCAAATCAATGAAAAACAACAAGAGTTCAGGTATTGATGGATACTCAATAGAATTTTTCAATTTTTTTTGGCTGGACTTGGGACAGTGGATTCTTCGATATGTAAACCGAACTTTCGTGAATGATTACCTAACTTTGACGATGAATAGGGGAGTTATCACCTGCATACCCAAACAAGGGAAAGACAGAAGATACCTAAAGAACTGCCGCCCCATATCACTACTAAACTCCATTTATAAGATAATAAGTACCTGTATCACAAATAGATTGAAATGTTCACTTGACTATTTAATTCATGAAAACCAAACAGGCTTTATTCCAGGGAGATGTATTAGTGAAAATATCAGATTACTATATGATGTATTGTTTGAAACCAGAAAACAAAATACAACAGGCCTTCTATTGTTGATTGATTTCGAAAAAGCCTTTGATACTGTTTCAAAATCATTTGTAAATAAGGTGTTACAAAAACTTGGATTTGGCCCATATATCATGAGATGGATCTCAATTCTTACTAAAAATGCTACCTCCTGTATTATACAAAATGGACATCTATCCGAATTCTTTCCAAAAAACAGAGGCTGCAAGCAGGGGGACCTTATCTCACCATACCTTTTTTTGTTTGTCGCAGAGATCTTGGGTATCATGATTCGTGAAAATGTAGATATTAAGGGTATTATTTTGAATGGCAAGGAATATAAGCTAGGCCAATATGCAGATGACACTCAGCTCTTCTTAGATGGCTCTGAAATCAGCCCTAAAGGCTGCTATGGACACCCTCACTTTATTTTTTAAGATGTCGGGATTAAAAATTAACATTGACAAAACAAAAGCTTTATGGATTGGAGCTATGGCAAACAGCCAGGATACAATATGCTGTGAGTATGGTTTAGATTGGCATACAGGTAATTTTGAGGCCTTAGGGATAATCTTAAATGCTACCTTGAGTGATTTGTGGGTTATTAACACAAGGAAGAGACTAATAGCTATTTCAAACATTCTTGGAAATTGGAGGAAAAGGAGCTTGACCATTCTTGGGAAGATTAGTGTTATAAAAACTTTGGCTGTATCTACTCTAGTTCATATTTTTACATCTCTCCCTAATCCTCCAAAACGTTTTATCGATGATATTGAGAAGCTGTTTTTTTCATTTATTTGGAATGGTAAACTGGATAAGATAAAAAGAGTAAATTTAAAAAAGGATTATGGGGATGGAGGAATTAGAATGATTGATATAAATTCCTTTGATGCATTAAAAATTTCCGCCATAAAGAGATGTTTTAAGAATGTAAGTTATAACAACCCATGTAATGTTCCTATCGGCCAAATTGAGAGTATTGGGGCTAATATAGACCAATATTGTAATGTGGACAATCCATTTTGGAAGGATGCCCTGCAAGCATGGAAGAGATATAGAGGTCTTTTTATAACTAATCAGAATGACATTTCCAAAATACTTGCGGAACCGCTCTGGTTCAATCATCAGCTTTTGGATCCATCCAAATTTATAAAAGATTGGTTTGATAATGGAATCACAGACATAAGGACCTCTGTAACTCTAATGGTCTATTGTCGTTTGATGATTTCAAGACCAGATATCCAGTTAGGGGAACATTCTTAGACTATAACAGGGTGATAAAAAAAATTCCAGTGTCCTGGAGAGATGCTGTTGGTAATCATAACTTCGTAAACCCACATCTAGTGATCAATGATGCTTTACATTCTCTTCTTGTAGCTTCCAAAGGTTGTAGAATGTTTTATGACAAATTGACAAAAACTGATGTTTTACCCGAGGTGTGTGGTAAATGGGAAAGCTTGATTATTATCCCTTTACCATGGAGTAATATTTTCACTAACTATAGAAACTGTACACGTGTTACTAAGCTATTGGATTTCCAGTTCAGGTTTATTCATAAGATTATATATACCAAAAGAGAATTAATGAAAATGAAATTAGTTGATAAAAATATTTGTACATATTGCAAAACAGAACCTGAAGATATTACCCATGTTTTCATCTCTTGTGAATATGTACAGATGTTTTGGAATGATTTAAGAGTGTTTCTCAGAAACATTCTTAATATTGATTTAGTACTCACAAATTTTACAATCCTGTTGGGATTTAATTCTGGCTATGATTTTATCAACAACATTATACTGGCTGGTAAAAGATTTATATTTACTTCTAGTATTAATAATAAAACTTTTACATATAGCAGAATTCATGAAGATACTACGGGATATTGTAATAGTTGAAGGTTACATAGCCAGCAAAAACAACAGGATTGTCAACTTTTACAAAAAGTGGCTAAATAGATTAATTCAATACTTAGAGAACCTATAGAATGTCACTGTCATGAAACGTATATCTCCTGTGTTGTACGGTATTGTAAATGCTGTTATATCAATTTTCATTCCACCTTGCAATGTACACCTCCCGAAATGAATTAAAAGAATTTTTAAAAAAAAAAAAAAGAACGAATCACAGAAATACAACGGTATAAGAAGCTATACTGAAACATCGCATCATAATAAATAAAGAAGTTGTTATCCATAAAGTATTATACTTTTCAAAGGCACAAGATTGATACGAAAATTTGAAATGGTAAAGAAATGAAGTAAGTCTAAACTGATATTTGACATTTCACAACATGATTTATTTGGTGTTACCACAATTAATCACAACATGAAATATATCATATGAAATATAACAAACATTGCACCAACATGACAGTTCAAATATATATTCTGTTATATGTACAATTCAATTATGACATTATTG